TCCTTATATCTTTATATTTAATGACACAGATCCATGCGACGTTTGACAAGCCAGACTGCAGGATCACTATCATGCCATTTGCGGGCATCATTGACGAGATCGTGTTGATTAATGACCCTGATACGGACCACCGAGCAACCGTTGCAGACCTGTGACGAATGAGGGCTGGGGGCGGCGTCTAAATCTGTTGTGTTGCTGCGTAGCAACTGCGTCCTACGAACAGTAGACCCCTCAGCCTCACCTCAGACGCCAGTTGCATGAAGTCTCCGTCCTGGCGATTGAGTCACCTTCCCTTCGCCTGCTTGCAGGAATTCATTATTTTGCTCGCAGCAGAACCGCCAGGCAAGTTGCGTTTTCAGCTCCTGCGAGTCAAGCTTCCGGGCAGCATACCACTACTGGTCAGGTATAAAAGTAATGTGCTCTATATTCCCAGCCACTCCTTTGAATTGTAAACTTATTCACGCCGCTATAACCCCCCCCCACTTCCCCATTGCGATTCTCACTAGCTCCCGGCCTTAAATCAAGTCGTAACTCGCCTAATAGGCCTGCATCAACCTCCACGTGATATGCCCACCTGTATCCCCTGTTGTGCTATTTTTCTTCCCTAAACGATAGGCTGTAATAAAGGCCAACGAGACCTCCTCGCTCCCGCTGCCCCACCAAATACGCAGCCTCCACAGAGACAGTAGACACCGTCTCGTGCTCGATGACAAACTCCTCCGTCGCGGCAGAGCCAGCAGGCGAGCCAAAAAAGTCGAAGAGACGAAGGAGAAGGAAGCGACTGAGACGCCTGACAAAGTGAAACCGGGAGAGGAGAGGCCAGTGGACAGCCGCGGTCTCTGGGACCCGACGTACCTCGCCGAGGTATACCGCGACTTCTATCGCGAACTGGGCAAGGCATGGGCAGGAATTCTAAATGGTTTTCGCGGCTACAAATGACATGCACTGCCTCCCTGTTTAGACTCAATGAGCATCTCGACTACATCGATGTACTTCTAATTTATAAGTGCGACTAGTCGTCGGGACATGGGATAAAAGCGTGGACTTAGAGGGCTACCGCGACTGATGAGTATCACTGATAAAGACAAAAGTGGGCAGGATGGTTGTTTGCCAGCCAATCTAGGCAAAGGACGACCCGAGATTTGGGCCAAGCCTTAGTCGTTCATTGAGCTTCGTGCCTGCGAGAGCCCTAACCCCGGCCAGGTGGGCGGGCTCTGCTCAAGTTGTAGTTGACCAAATGGCGAGGGCTCCGACAGACAGGCTTATTTAGACAAAGTTAGGAGAAAGTCTCGTAGTTGCAGAGCACCGGATTGTGTGTGTGCCGAACATGTTGTGAGTTGGCATGGTAACTGCAGTGCAAAAGGTCGACCTCGTTGTCGAACCCATTTGGCCGTTCGAAAGATGTGCTGCAATCTTGCTTTCCCCCCCCCCCGCCGCCGCCGCCGTAGAATTTGCGGCGTGCGCGACCCAGACGGATAGAAGCGCCAGGTTCCATACCTGATACCCATCCGATTGCTGAAAACTTACTTCAGGGCCCCCCTTCGACTCTAAAGCATCTGGGAGGAACTCACTCTTGTCAGCCTGAACTCTAACCGCTGCTTGCAACAGGCTAGTGTTATGAGCAGATAGAGAGGGGAATCTGAGTTTTAAATGTGCATGACCCAACTGGCTACAATTCTGGGGGTATGATCAGAGAAGAACACCGTCTATGAACTTTTTGTTGGCATATATTTGGACAAAGGATTTGGCATTGTGTACATCTATCATCACCTCGCCTCGAAGACGCTCACTAAAAGGCGAAAAAAAACGAAGTTTAATCCTGATTGACATCACAAAAGATGGCAAATTCTCCTGGGAGGGGAATGAACATTACTAGCGACAATTCTTGAGAAGTAGCGCGAAGTTAACAAGCTTCTAGGGGTGTACGATGAACGATCATCAAATCAAGACTGGGTGTGGGTAATTGTCCAAAATATTATGGTACAATTCATAACAGAGGAATATTTTGAGCAAGTGCTAGATGCCGTGAATGGTTGCCTCATGCAGAAGTTGAAGATGGCATGAAAATTTCGGTGCAATGACTAAGACTCAATAGGTTAGGCCGCTGTCTGAGTGAACAACTAAGTAAGCAGAGGAAATACAAATGACGGAGGTAATGACAATCTCTACTGAGCCCTGAACCAAGGAATGGAAGTTTTTATTTCCCAAAAGGACGGTAGTTTATCCATCGTGTGGGCAACGATGACTTGCGCTGCATCTAACTCAGTCACCCCCCTCCCAGACCCGTTATCGCCACGAGGCAAACAAAAGGCCAGGAGGAATGAAGATGGGTGTGGGTGAAGGATTTGGCCGACCTGTGCTCACTTGCCGCCTTCAGCCCTTGTTAGGCTGGAACTGGGGCAAGTTTGGCCGAATATATTAGAAGATTAAAAAGTTGTACTTACTTCGCTTTGACCGCTTTTTGTATAAAACGCGATGACCGCACTCCAAGCATCTGACCAATTCGCGAGGCCGGATTTCATTTTCAGCTCTGCACTCTGCAAACAGAAAAGACGCGTTCAGAAAGAGCTCGCCTGTACAGCGGGCGCTGGAACTGAAGCCTTTGAATATGCCTGTAGGGCAGATGTTGCTTTAATGAGGTTGTAGTGCCAAATGACGTGAAACAAGATCCCCGGTTAACCCTTATACACCACACTGTTATGAACCGTTGTAATGCTTGCGTGGAGATTCCTATATCCTAATCTTCATCCTTATGAGTGCTAACTACGTGCCCAGCATCAAATGCTAACATGACTAAATTTTCTAAAAAAATGGACATGGAAAATGGGATTTTTGCATACCCTCTAAGGACTACAGAATTGTCCATGAGAAGCTTTACTACCTAGGATCTAGTAACTGTTGATCAGTACTTTTAAGTTCCGTTTCACAATTTTAAAAAATGGTGTCGAAAATTTATTATCAAAAAATTCACGGGAGATCAACGCGTAAATACCAACGAGTTTTAAAAATAAGTACACTAAATTAACAAATGAATTAATTTGATGTTTATAAGAATAACAAGAAACACTACTTAAGTCAAGTTCCTCCCTTATTTGCAATTGGCAGGGACGGGTAGAACAACTGTCAGTCAAAAGCCAACGCGACATCTCACGGTTTCGGGCTGTTTTATAAGGTTTCGCACCTTTTTTTGCGAATGCTCAGGTCTGCAGAAAACGTGAATATTTCGTGTGGCTGTTCTGCACGACTCCAAACTTAGCCGATAAATAAAATGAAGACGTTAATGAAGTTTTTCAGCAATGCATTTTTCCGGAAAACTAGCAAAAAATATTTCGTGTGAAAGACATATGTCGTCTTGGAAGTGGTGACCTCAGGCAATGTGTTTATGCATCAGTGACAATCCGCTTTTAGATCCTAGCTGCCTCGCGCGCCTACCTTTCTCCCTGGGTTTTTAACTTCAAGAGGGGATTTTTGACAAATAAGCAAATATGTATGAGAAGCGACCTAAGTAGATGAAATAGCATCTGCAAAACGTTTAAGACAGCCAAAACTCCGAAATCAGTTGCCCTTCCTGGATGTGCAAGTCAGACGAAACCTTAACGGTGAACTTGAAACGACGGTTTATAGGAAGGCAACGAACACCACACAGCTTCTCAGTTTTCACAGCAACCATCCGGTGGCTCACAAACGAAACTGTGTGAAGACGCTCTTCAAACGGATCCACACTCATTGCAGCAAACTGGAAGACAGAGCGCGTGAGGCCCGTTATCTCCGCGACCAGTTTGTGCAAAATGGCTATCCGAGGGCATTCATAAGTCGCTGCCTACGCGGTC